ATGTAGCGAGGACGGCTCTGGATCTCGGAATGATGAGTCATCGCCGGTGACTCAGCGCTCGAATAATCCAGAGTGTGGAGCTCGCTGGAATGTTCCAGAAGACATAGGCGCTGAATATATAATGAACGACGCATCACAGAGCAGTCAGTTGAGCTTTGGTACTCGCGAAGAAATAAATAAATATAAGTGCAAATAAATAAACTAGTAGTGATATAAATAATTAGTAGTTAAGTGTTTAGTTAGTTTTATAGTGTTTTAAGTGTAGTTAAGTTATTAAATAAATAGTTTAGTTCGTTAATTAACCGGTGCGTGTTTTAATTCACACTACGAACAGTTAAAAACGTTACAATATTTAATAAACGACGACATTGAAAAGCCAAGTCCGTAGTGGTTCCATTGGCCTTGAGCTCACCGTTTATTCACGGTGAATTCACCGTGAATAAACCGTCTGTGAAAAGTGCGTGAATTCACCGTCTAACTACCGTTTACAAATGTCACAAACAGACGGTTTATTCACGGTGAATTCACGGTGAATTCACAGTGAATTCACGGTGAATTCACGGTGAATAAACCGTAAACTCAAGGCCGCAAGGGCTGGAATGAATTGGTGATTCATTGCGCCAAAACACATTTCAAACCAATAACTTATTTTTTATTGGATTCTATTGGTCATTTGCAATAGGGTTGTCATTCAGAGAATTTCAGGACTGAACTTATAGGATATACTCGTATAGGATATATATATACCTCTCCAGGACGTCTGAAGGCTTTTTTTGAATGGCCAGGCGGTTGTGGCCGGCACTCGGCCAACTATACACAGCCGACACTCGGCCGAGTAAACATGGCTAGCCGACATTCGGCCAGGCGGATATGCCCGACAGTTGGCCAGGCGGACATGCCCGTTCTACACGCCGCAAGAAATACGTGAGTCGGGCCGCACGCGGCTGATTTGGCAAAACGTATTCTGGCCGGCTAGCTTGTGCTTACTGGGTATTTCAAGATTTGGAAAATTCACGTGTCTCTGGATGAATGGCTTCGTGAAGTGCAAAGACGTTAAAACCTATTGCTGTTTTATAAAGTTTCTTCTATTTTTCTTTTTTAAATTTTAAAATTGTTACTTAATAATTTTAAACAAATAAAGATTAGTAGATTTTTCCCAGCCATATATTTAATTGAAGCCTGTTATTTATGACTTTATCGCTATCACTTTATCCCTATCAAAAGCTTATTTAATTTGCCCCAGTCTTTCCTTTACTCAGCAGAAATGGGAAAAAAGAAGTTAAACGTATACGTATAATTATAATTATTTTTTTAATTTTTTATAAGAGTTTTTTATGCTTTAGAATAACTAGGTAAGGTAATATACTGTTAAATATATATACATAATTGCATCACTTGTCAATGATTATATCATAATATCCCAGTAAGCACCAAACACTCGGCAAACAGTCGGCCTTCGCCTGGCATAGGCGGTTGACGGTCGGTTCGGCTTGCCCTCAGTCGTTCCGCTTATGGCCCGCGTTATGTTAGCCCGGTACCGTTTGGCCATGTTCTAACCAAAGTCGGCCAGAATACGGCATGCCGCTGCAAAATCGTTCGGCTTGCCCTAGCCGGCCCGCTTACGGCCTTCCGCGGCCTAAGCTAACTATAAATAACGATGAGTTGCAATATTTAGTTGGAAGTGTGCGTCTCCATCGATGTTAAAAATGACCGATTAATTCCTGTAGAAACCAATTGAAGTATTGGTTGGTATCAATGGGTCTGAATTGGATTTAATTGGGCGCGATATAAAACAGAAATTGGTTTTTACTGGTATTTTCCATGATGGAAAATACCATTTAGGATTCTAATGGTTTTTATTGGTTTCGATTGGATAAAGCCAAGTCTGGATTAAGGGGGAGGCTAAAGGGGCTGAAGCCCTGGGCCCCGCGATTCAGTAGGGCCCCGCTTTGAAAAAATTTCAGCCGAACAATTTCAGTGTAGTAGTAATAGTGTTTTTGTTACATCAGGAATATAGTTTTTTAAATTATTTTGTGCATTTTATCTACAAAGGGCCCGTAAATTTTTATTAGCCCCGGGCCCAACGAAAGCTTAATCCGGCCTTGGATAAAGCTACCTATAGGTAATTTCCAATTGAATTCAATTGGACATTCCCAGTGTAAGATTCGAAAAATCTGCTAATTGGTTCTCGTGTAGCTGCGTAAAATCAACGAGGATGAGACGCCATCATAAAGAAAAAACAACAAGTCTTTGGACGCCATTTATTAGCGGTTTATTTTATTAGTCGATTTCAGTGTTAAGTGCCCACACGGAGAAAAAAGTTTATTGCTCCCAAATAAAAAAAAAATTTAAATATGGGACAAGGGTACAGTTTATTTATCCTAAATATATTTTTATTCCCGACACATAAAGTTTTACTAAAGTATATTTATCGTTATTATTTCGACTATTTAGAGGTAATAAACAATATATTCACTACAAATAAAAGTATTAGGTAAACAGTTTATTTGTCCCATTTTTTTCTCAGTGTAGTGTTAGTAGTGTACTTATATATTAAAAAAATGTTTATATGTGTAAGATTTAGGGATTTAGGCGATAGTTATATGTATTAATACATACATATATCACAAAAAAATAATAAAGAAATAAAATTACTCAGTAACAATACATTTTTTGTCTCTTCTGTAAAAAATGAATTCTGGTTTTTACCCGGTTATCCTTCTGGGATCTAAAATTATTTTTGAATGAAAAATAAACTGGTAGGTATTTTCTAATCCAAATTTTAAAAAATTAATTGGTTTTAATTGGTTGGAATGGGTTTGGCGCTATGAATAACCAATTCATTCCCTGTGCATTTCTATTGGATTTAGCCAATAGAGACCAGCATAGGCATGAATTGGTATTTTCCAATTCAAGCCGCCCACTTCATTGGAAATTACCAATAGGAATTCAACTGGAAATTCCAGTCTGGAATGAATTGGTGATTCATAGCGCCAAAACACATTTCAATCCAATTACTTGTTTTTTATTGGATTCTATAGAATGACCAATATATTGGTCATTTACAATAGTTATAATTATGGTGTATCAATAATAATATAATCCTTAAGGATTATAAAATAAAAGTTTTACCCAAAACCTACTGTTTCTATTTGAAGAGCAGGCACATAATTGAAAAATTTAAAAGCGAAAATAGGTTGAACATAGTCTAAAATTTAAAATTCTTCAAAAGTAGGTATTTAAAAAATAAATGTTTTTAAAACACAATTTTGGTTTTATTATAAAACCAAAATTGTGTTTTAAAAATATTTATTTTTTAAATACCTACTTTTGAAGAATTTTAAATTTTATTATAAAACCAAAATTGTGTTTTAAAAATATTTATTTTTTAAATACCTACTTTTGAAGAATTTTAAATTTTAGACTATGTTCAACCTATTTTCGCTTTTAAATTTTTCAATTATGTGCCTGCTCTTCAAATAGAAACAGTAGGTTTTGGGTAAAGGGCTTAACAAACTGCACTACTGTCGGCACACCGTACGAATGACCAATCGCATCTAATTCGGTGGAGACGTGTTTCGACCTATCTGTAAACATTGTCGCTGCTTTTTCTTTGATGTGCCGCTTCTCGACGGGAAACGAAACAAAGTCGGCGACTTCAATTTGCGACATAAAAAGTCGGCAACTTTTTTAAATTTTCGGAAACTTTGTTGCCAACATTTGTCGGCAACATGGTCGCCGACAAATGTTGCTTTGGTGGAGACCCAGCATAAGGTAAAATGATAAGGCAAATCGAAAAATTTCCCCTCAAAAAAGACGAGACGCTAAATGCCACTGGCGGCTCCTCTTACTGCGCATGATCGCTTAATTGACAAATGTGCCGCGTTAGTTACGTTATAGATAGCTGTCGAACTTTTTTATTTCATAAATTTGTTGTTTCTTTGTTAAACAGTGTTCGGTGGGGTTGGGTTGGTTGGTTTTTTTAGTTTTATCGTAACATAAAATCTACTAGAAGTTGTCGAACTTTTTTTATTTCATAAATTTGTTCCTTTGTTAAAAAGTGTTTTATTTTTATCGTAACATAAATTTTAGTTGGGTTTTTTGCTCAATGGAGCGGGGGGGGCCAATGGGGCGGGGTCGGTTGGGTTGTGTTGTTGAGTTTGGGTTGGTTTGGTTTTATGACGTAACTAACGTGCCTTTAACATTTCGAATCGCGGCACATTTGTCAATTAAGCGATCATGCGCAGTAAGAGGAGCCGCCAGTGGCATTTAGCGTCTCGTCAAAAAAGACGAGAGGCTAATTCGCCCCAACCATACCGACGTTGCCACATTTTGGATACATTTTTTGGCGGGAAATTTGAAATACTTGTTCTATCGAGTCAAAGCCTTATTATGAATAATGTTAAGGTTCAAAGTAGATTCAGTTTCCTCTTTGAGCTTTTTAAAGTGTACCTTGCTTAAACGTAAACAAACCTTTAACCAACCCAAACCCAACAACCCAACCGACCCTGCTAAAGGTGGGAGGAAAAAACATATATTTTTTAATTTGCTATATACCAATTTTATATTGCATTTTTATTTTTTTGTAGGTATGTTTAATATTTTTTCAAATATTCTGTGAATCTTTTTGCAACGTGGCCAAATTTTCAAAAATTCTTTTAAAACCTTAGAATCTTCAGGATACCTTCAGTAAGTCATCTTAAGCCTGATTAATACCTATATTGCCTTCCTTCCCTCCTTCCGTAGAAGATGAACAATACAATTCCGCACGGGAATCTATAAACGGCACTACGGTTTTCGTATTGTTCATCTTTTACGGGTGGAAGGGAGGGAGGAGGGAAGACAATCTATAACTCATAAAAATAAATAAATAAAATCAATAATTCATTGAATAATTAAAATTTTGCAGTATTTTAAGAAACATTCCCCATTTCTGCGTTTTACCTTGTTATTTAAGGAAAATCATTCTGAAGAGTGGTAAAATTAAAAATCTGGTTTGTCTTATGTGTTGTTTATTTTTTTATATGAGAGTATACTAAGAAAGTAAACATAGACTGACCATTACTACAAAAAATGAATTACATTTTATTATGTACATGCAGTTACTGAGATCTCTGGAAAAAAATGGAATATAATTACAGATTCTTACTAATGGACCACAAGTTAGTTGCGCATAACATTTAAACGTTCCGTTATTATTTTTTACATTTTTTCTTTTACTATTTACTTAATATTATACATAGTTTGGAAACATTTATATGTTACATTCTCTCTCTCAATAATTTTGATCTCAATTTAGTTGCAGAAACATTATATACTTAATTAAAACTACAAATATTTACAAATAACTAACCAACAATAGTCGGTCAAAACCACCTGTAGGTCTGTGGTCAAAACACAAAATTATCATATTTGCAAAACAAAACTGTTTTTTTGTAATCAATGCAAATAATGACACAGTCGTTGAGTAAAAAAATAGTGAGGTTTAATAATTATCTAAAAGAGGCATTTTACAGCCAAAATATACAAAAATGCATCAATTTATATTGCAAAAATTGTCTACTAATCTAAAAATTTACTAAAAACGCACATAAAAACTAAAACACATTTAAAAACACTTCTTAACACTCACTGTAAAACTTTAAAGTGTGGACTAGAGTCATAAATTCTAAATTCTATTGTCATAATTTGCAATTTAATAAAAAAATTGTAAAAGAAACATATTTAAATATGTTTTAGCTTGTCAAAAGAAATGAACTACTTATTAATAAGACAGTTGTTAATATACTCAAATATAAACGTGTTTTTTTATAATACAGTCTCTATATCTCATTGCACACTGATAATCCACACATTAATTAATTCACTACAATAACTACAATTTTTTGTTGTTTACAAATTCAAGTTTTTCACATTTAATGAATTCTATAGAGCTGCAAGTTTAGGTTTACTCGTAAGTCATGTTTAAATTCAGTAATTTAATGAACATAAAATTTTGGAAAATATACTTTTTTATAAAAAATAATCAATGAATATTTTTGTTTGCTAATTTGTAAACATTTTTTTTAAATTTTGGTGCCGGTACCAGTATATTTGTTTTATATTTTGAGATAAGTTGTATTAAAAACTATTTTAGAAAGTTTAACATAAAAAAGTATTCTTTATGTTTAATAAATTATTGAATATTAAACTTTTGCAGTCTTTCCTTAAACTGATTGGTCACCAAAATAAACTTGCGGGTTTTTTGGCGCCTTTTTTCATGGCAGTTTATCAATGTCAAGTATATGTATAAAATAAATTATCCTATCTTATTTTAAGTCTGACGTAAACTAAGGCTACTAGGCTTTAATATTTTTTGATTTTTTTAGTAACATAATTCCATTTAACCTGTTCAACATTTTTTGCTAACTTATTATTGAATCTGTACACAAACTTACTACTACTAGGTTTGAACAAGTTACATGTGCTAGTTGATTTAAAATACTGTTTATTGCGAAAATAATACGAAGAAAACCTTTTGAAATATTATCACAGCACATAAAGATCGATTAGGATCATTGACAGATTATTAAAGAAGCAGTTTAATTAAACAGTAATAATTAATCAAGTAGCATTAAAAAAAGACCTCTTGATTAACTGCCTGAATCATGAAACGAAAGCCAGTCTTATAAAACTAAAAATACTAAACCTAAACTAACAAGGCAGTGATATCTGTACACATTTTGTTTTACACAATTGGCAGATCTACATCTTATTTTTTAGTAAATCACACTTTAGAGTGACTAAATATACACAAAAAACACACACTTATATTAAAAACGTTGCAGCGCGCGAAATCGTTCATTGTTGCATTGCATAGGTTCCCTGAATATTTATATTTGGTGTAAATTACTTACAAACTAAAAAAACACCGCGAAAAAAGTCGAGATTTTTTGTTACGGCTATTGTATGCTGAGCAAGGAGACTGTTAGGAAAATATGATACAAAAGGTCCAGTTGCAAATGTTATCTTTGAATCGCACCCCACTGTCAATCCCATTGGTGGGGGGAGGGGGGCAACTCCGAAGGGTGCGCTACGGTCGAACTGAAACAAGAAGAAAAAATGATGGTCAAATTTGAGTATAGATTTTTTTCAACAAAAACCCATATAATACTTACTCACTTCGAAAAATGATATATGTTACCAGAATATTTTTATAATTTTCTTTTTAATTATGTCTTAAAAAGTTATTTTTTTATATAAAATAAAGAATTTTTTGGAAATTAAAATTAAAAAAAAGTTGATGAAATGTTAAACTCGGATATATCTATATTTCATTTAGTGTAGCGAAAATATTGGTTTTCCTTATTCACATTAAAATATATTTATTAAACAAAAATTGTTTGTATAAAATTAAAGAATACAGTAAAGTTCGAAAATTTTAGCTAAAAATAATAATCATCTTAAAATAGAATTTTATGACAAATGTACAAAGTTTTTATCAAACTCTTTAAATAAAAAAAAAAAAACAAACTTAAGTTAAATTAAATTTATCTAAAAATTTGTAGGTATTTTTTTAAACATCTGAAAGTTTATATCCAGATCTTTAAAACTATATTAAATAACTAATAATATTATATTTAATATTAAGGGCGTTGATACTCAAAATGGACATTGTAATAGAGGTTCTAGATCTTAAAAAGACTAAAACTTGTTTTAAATAAATATTTTTTATCTTCAAGCATCCTATAATTTAGGCTTTATTATTGTCAACTAGGCTGTAAAAATAATACAGACCAATTAGGTGAAGTAAACAAATTCGATAACTTCTGACAAATCTAACCTCACTTTATTATATATTTTAAGAATTGTTATCATTGTTAGTACGTTTTATGTTTCGTTTAACAAATATAAATGTGCCTTTAAGATAAAATGTTGTATGCCATTCAGCTGAGATGTGCCTTTTTGTGCTTCTCTCAATTGTAGGCCTCCGCTTACGCATTGGACTTTAAGATCGGCACAAAAAGACTCATTTCTCAGCCTTATGACATAAATAACCATTATTTAAGCTTTTGTTTTAACATAACACCTTTTTATCTTCGTTATTTATAGCCGGATTTAAAAAAAAATAATTCTGGGTTTATGAAAAACACTGTTTTAAAAATCACGCTACGTATTTTTTCATATATTTTTTTTCAATTCGGTCACAAATGTCCATTTAGTAAAAACATCCCATTAAAAACCTTTAATAAAAAAATAATTTTCCAACCAATTTCATAAAAAAACAACTTAATAATAGTTCCAAAAATTTACTAAAATTTACATAAATTATTAATAAAAAATTTTGTTTTTGTAGTACTTTTAAAAGAAATACCTGAAAATTATATTGTATTTTAAAATTGTATATTATTAATTTTAGAAAAAAGGAATTTTTAATATTAAAATATAAGGTTAAACAATTTTTGCCCTGAAATATTGAAATTTTTTCTTAGTCATAATTTAAAAAAAAAATAGACAAATTGGCAAACAAAAATAAATTATAAATTTAAAAAGTGTATGTATTTTCCTAAAAAACAAAAGTATTTTAAAAAGTAAAAAATCGCAGATTTTTAAAAGAATATTTATATTTCAAAAATAAATGATTTATTAGTCCCAAAATTGTTAAAAAAAAAATAATTTAAATTTTTTGTATGATTTTCTATAAAATCTTGCCAACTATTTCTTGAACAATTCATTTTTCGAGTTAAGTATTTTTTAACATTGAATATTCCTCCACATAATAAGTAAAGGTGTTACATTAAAATTTAAATACCTGATTTTAGCAAGGTAAGTATGTAGGGCCGTCATCGCTTGCGCTTCCTAAAACTAAAAATCCTCCATTTGAATTTTTCTTTTACAAAAATAAACCAATTTATATTATATTACAACACATATGGAATGGACATTTACATGTTAATTGTTTTAGTATTTCATAATGCAAAAACTTTTTATTTTTTTAAAATTTTAATGTAATTATATGTAAGTACTAAAATCAGGATTTAGATTTAATGAAACATTTTCACTGTTTTTATTATCAGTTTTTAATAGAGCCACGTGAAAAGCAACTTTTTTATAGGTGGTTTAAAAGTGCAATTATCAAAAACACCCTATAAAATTGTTACAGATTTCAAACAAAGTATGTGCATTTTAAATTTACGTGGACATGTATTTTATTTATTACAAATATTTATTCATTCAACACAACAACAAAAACATTCACAAAAAAGCACAATAACAAACTAAAAATGTGAACCTGAAATATAAAGCACAAAAATATTGTTGAGCCAAAAACCATTTAAATTAATTAAATTGAATTTTTTCTGCATGAAAAAATTTTTGGTTAATGATTTGTGCATTTTATTACTAATTTTTAAGTGCTTATGTAAATGAACCCAAAATTTCACCATGGCTCTATAAAGTAGCATATCCATTAAAGAAAAAACATTTTTAATTTTTATTTGATATAATTTTTACTTCAATAAAAATATTTAATTAAGCTTTTCTCAATAATTGTTTCTTTAATGAAAAAGATTCTTTTGAGGAAAATATTCAACGTATGAAATAAATTAAAACCTTAGAGTAAGATTATCTAGACGCCTTAATAAATGGAGATGGTATAAAAATTGTAATATTTTGTAGTGGGTATTTGTATGTTTAGTTAAAATTCAAAAATCGTTTATTTTTTTAACAAAATTGCCGACACTATTTCTTGTCTAAACTTTCTTACTCTAAATCAAAACCTTAGACCATGGACAACGCGTTGACTATGGTCTAAGGTCCAAAGAAATAAAATGTATGCAATGGAATAACTAACCTAACATATATGCAGTCACGCAGCGCATAGAAAGATGACGGGTGATAACAGAATCTCAAGGGTCTTCTTGAAAGGTGTGCATTGCATTCTCTCCCTCCTGTACAACAACCATCATCTTACTTGAGCCGTTCATTTTTAATTTTTTGTTTAAATTTTGATTAAGGCTTTTTTTTGATTATACACATATGGGTTTGCTAAGGTTTTAAATGTCCAGTTTAGAAATCAAATTATTTTTTAATTTATTTATAAAGAATATTTTTTTATGTTAACACGTTAACTGCCGTGAGTTTTTTTCAAGTGGGGTCAGCTGGGCCACAATGTTTTTTATCATTTAATTCCTAATAAAAATATGCCACCGGTGTTATAATACAATAGCACATTTTTTGTATTATTTTTCCCTTCTACCCCCGTGCGACTATAACATACACGCGGCGCGCCGCGGCGAAGGATTGCAAAATTGTACATTTGCGCCACGTGTATAAATTGAAATACATACACATTTTATGACAAATATTGTCTGTCAAATCATTAATAATGGATTAAATTCTTTTTTCCATTTTCATCATCGACATTTTAATTATGCATGTAACTTCAAAAATAATTCATTTTTGGCTCATTTTTTGGCAATAAATATTTTTGAATGAAGGGTTTGCCATCTTAAAAATTGTTAATAAAAAAGTGAATACCAGTGTACATCCACGCCACGACAATCATTCTAACATATAAAACCCATGTTCAGCATCCTCTATTCACATACATGTAGCTGAAATAATTTTATTGTGCGTGTATACAAAATCATACACATGGCGCACTAGACCCAACTCGCGTGTATACTTTTTCATACACATGGCAGTTAACGTGATTTTATTTTAATATAGGTAATTTATGTCACCTTGTTTAGGATTAATTAATTTTCTTAAATTTATCAAAAAATATATTTAAAATTATGAACAAAAATAAACATTACAACCTCAGCAAATGTTTAGTATGCAACAAATTGTTAGTAACATGAAATTAATAAATGTTAATAAACTACACAAAAAATTGTATATACAAGTCTGACTTCCATACAATTAATTTACAAAAATGATTCTCAATTAGAAAAAATCAAAATTTTTAATAATCAAAAATGCAAAAAGCTAAAGAACTGAAAACATATACTGAGGACAAAGGACAGAAAAGGAGATTTCTAACTACGAAGAAAATAAAAACGCTCGCGCCCAGCATGGAAAGTCATTTAAAAAATTATTGATTTTAAAAAAGTGAAACATTAATATGTTAATGAAATTATCGTGATTGCACTTTGAAAATGAGTAATACAAATATTAAAAAATAACTCTCCAACCAATTGGTGTACGTTATTTTTTAATAACATGGATTGTCAAATAAATGACATGACATAAAAAGTAAAAATGTACAAAAAAGCATGCAGTCATATTTTTCGTGACAGACTTTTAACCATATCAAGAAATTTAGGTTTATTAAATTTACACTTTAGCGACTTTTCCGAAAAACGGCATGGGGGTTGCCAAAATGCAAAAAATAGGTGTGGAGGGATGTAAAAGTGCATAGACAATCGGCACAGGGAAAAAAAGTTGTATAATTATCACGTAATTAATAAAAAACAAAGGGGGCTGATAATTGAAGTGACTGATTTTCTGTGAAAAAGAGCCATAACACGTATACGTGTTTTTCACTTCACTTTCAAATTCTACGTCTGTCTATTAGATATATCTAATAGACAGACGTAGAATTTGAAAGTGAAGTGAAAAAGCTTGAATTATGAAAAACGTCATAAATTGCGGAAATAAAATCAGGTAATTTGAGGTTATGCAGGTTCACAATCCAGCCTGCCCTTAGATATATTATACATATATAGCTCAATGTGGCGGGGTCGGTTGGTTGGGTTGTTAAGTTTGGGTTGGTTTGGTATGGCACAATGCAGTGTACCTGCATAACCAAGATAACAGCAATTTATGACGTTTTTCATAATTTACGATTTTTCACATCCACTTTCAAATTCTACGTCTATTAGATACGTATTTTTGGCTCGCTGCATGTTCATTTTCACAGAAAATCACGGTAAGTCACTTCAATTATTAGCCCCTTTTTTATTAATTACGCGATAAATAAACAACTTTTTCACCCTGCGCCGATTGTTTATGCACTTTTACATCCGTCCACAGCTATTTTTGGCTTTTGGCAACTTTCCTGCCGTTTTTCGGGAAAGTCGTTCAAGTGAAAATTGACCTTAGGTTTTACTGATAAATTTAAAATGAAAGAGAAAGAACTAAAAAATTGATTATTTTACCAAACTGAAAAAAAAGCGATGAAAAAGTTTTGATGATAAAAAGCAGGGAGGACAAACGTGTAAAAATGGATTTATAGCGATAAAAGTAAGTTTATTTTGAACGTACACCAATAAGTGTCGGTTGTGGGAGAGTTATTTGAAAAATAGTTGAGTGTTTGTTCGTCACCTATGCAATGGCGCTGCGCTGTAGTTCTGCGGCTCGGCGGGCGAGGGCCGTCTTACCTGGCGAAACTCTTGAATGCCGCCGATTGCGGGTTTATGCATAGCGGCACTCGGCTAGTGTTCAGCTGTTCGGCTATGAATTTATGCATCTCCTCTGAAAATAAAAAAAAATGTGTACATAACTGTTTTTATTTAACAAATTTAAAATCTCTTCATTTAACAGACGGATAAACTATACATAAAATGACGCACTATGCATGTGGTCGTCAAAAACTGAACTGAAACTTGAAGCTAAAGTTTCCGTACTAGACATCGCTTTTGGCAACAACTTGGCAATAACAAAATAACCAAAAAAATGTATTTAATAGTAATAAAACCCTAGAAAATTTTGGTAGGTGTGGGCACGAGCCAGGGTGGAAGAAGGAGGTGATTCAACTCCGCCGTTGAAGGCGGCCAGATAAGTCAGTATTTGTTAAAAGTCTGTATAGATGGCGCATTGAAGTGGAACCTGTTTTAATCCCGGTGCACAACAAACTTTTCCCATTTTTAGTAAAATTACATTGATTAATATAATAATGAATAGACCACTAAGCTTAGTTAAAATTCAAATAAAACCATTTCAAGGTCACTTTTGTGCGTTTGTGGCGACTGTGAATTTTGGTAAAACAGTTGGCAATACTACAGTATTGCCAATCGTTCTGCAAATTATTATAATAATGCTGTTGGAAAAGATGTAATTTTCGTTAAGGAGGGTAGAAGACTCTCCTTGGGTTTTGGTTATCTTATAATTTGTTGTTAAAAGTTAAGTTGTTATAGAATATATGGATTTCGTTGGTAAAACCCATATACCTATAACTCCTATGTATATGGTAAGATGTAATTTTCGTTAAGGAGGGTAGAAGACTCTCCTTGGGTTTTGGTTATCTTATAATTTGTTGTTAAAAGTTAAGTTGTTATAGAATATATGGATTTCGTTGGTAAAACCCATATACCTATAACTTATATGTATATGGTAAAACCTTAGGTTCTTATTTGACTCGCCATCTAACGAACAACGAACGAAATACTGACTTATGTGGACGCTGCTTCTGTACTTTAGAGATAGAAGCGATATCACCTCCTTCTTCCACCCTGGCAAGAGCCACAACTTCTCAACAATAAGGACCGCGCTGTCCACCTGCTAATCGTTTACCGGTCCAGGTTCGTTTTATTTTACTCCGTCTAAATAAAATGAATATAATGTAGTCTGATCATTTTCAAATGATATCATCTATTTTCATGTTTTTAGTAATAGGCCAGCAAATTCGTGTATTGACCCAATACTTTTATACCAGTTGAATTTTTTTATCAAAAGAGCATACATTGAATAATATTTATTCCGGTTTTCGGATTGATCCAAACAACCCCCGGCCATCTTGAAATAAAACCTAACTTTTTGTTTTAATAACTTATAAACTGTTTATCGCACAAAGACTTTTAAAATACAGGCAATTTTATGAACTATCCCAGGAAACACAAGGTAATCTAATAGATGTCTAAATCTGGTATAAGTAATCTAAATAACATCTAGATATACAAATGGATCTGATTTCGATCGTATTTTATGAAATAGTTTTTAGATGATTTTCCAAAGACATCTAAAATATGTATAATACACTTTAAACTTAAGTAGAAGCTTATGTTCGACGTGTATTAGACATTGAGAATGATAGGTCTCTTAAATGTTAAGGATTTTCACTAGTTTTTTACATGTATTGCCAAATCATTTATAGATGCCACTTAATGATACATCTAAAAGATATAAAACTTGTAAAGGCTAATATAATGGTATTTGGTTAATTATTATTTTTGACATCTGTAGCATACCTTAGAAAAACAATCTAGGGACGACAAGAACATATAGTAAAAAATAAGGCAGTTGCTTATTTTAAACTTCGTTTTATATTTGTTGTCATTTAGAATATGTGCCGGTCAAACGATTCAAAAAAAAGATGACAACTATATTTATCTGTCTTGGTACTGCTATTTTAAAACAAAATAGCAACAAAAGAAAAACAAAGAAGTTAACTAGGGCATTAACGGGTTAAAGTTTATTTTCTTCTTTTTACAGCATTTAATAAAAGATTTTCTTTAAAAATGTTTTTTACCATTTATTTTTTATTTTTTGCTGGACATGTTTCATTTAATGCGCATAAATACAACCTACTGCGCATATATAAAATAATCCAGGAACTACTGCGCATAGATTTAAACTACTGAGCATAGATACAACCATCTGGGAGGAAATGGTTCAAAATTTAGTTTTAAGATTTGACATTTAACATACAAACAAACAAATATTGCAAGTAAAATAAAAGCTTGTACAAAAATCCAACGGTAAAATATTTTCTTAACATACTCATCTCGATACTCATATTTTGAAGTTATTTTAATATTATAAAGTAAAAGTAAATATTAAATTTAATAAAATGAATAACGGGTAATATTAAATTAAAAATCAAAAATGTTTGCTGGGAACGATCGAATTCCCCATTAAACATTTTTAACGCATTTGTCACCATTAACATTGCTCGTAATTCATTTTATTAAAGATAACATTTATTTTTACTTTACTATAATTGCAAAATTTTATTAAAAAGGATTAAAAATATTAAAAATTCTTAAAGAAACAAAAAGTTAAGGTTATGTTTACTTTAGCGCTACTTTGCCTGCGCGCGCACGGTCGATCTCATTCCTTTGTTCACTGTGGCTTCGCGTGCTTACTTTTGAGTTCGCTGCAATGTAAATGTCAGTTTTAGTTGGTGAATTTGATACATTTTTATATTTGATGGTGATAAATTTTGTCTTTTTGTGCTGTGCATATGTCCACAACATTTTAGGTAAGTTTACATTTATAATTATTAACATTTTATTGAATTTGGATGACGGATCTATAATTGATCTATAATAGATGGAGCAGATATTTACCTTTTGCCAATAAATAAACTATAATAACGTATGATTCATACGGTTTTCTAATAAAAATCCATCTCCCTAGGTTTTGCGTTAGAAATAAAGATATTTTTTCAATGTATTGAAAATTTACCTATTTAATTAAGTTAGTATTAATACCTATATTGATCTATAACTGATCCCTAATAGATCCGTAATAGATGATTGTTTTATTAATGTCCGCACAATTTTTTTTTACATAGGTAATGGGGCTAAATTAATATTAATATAATTTTCTACTGAATTTTAGTATTTTTATTCTCAATCTTTTTGTTGTCTGCTGTTAGCAATAAATTAACAATTTATTATTATTATTAAGAAAAGAAAAGTGATTACTCTATAATTGATCCATAGTAGATCCGAAGTAAATAATTAAGTTTTTTAATAGATCAAGGACAATTTTCCAATAATAACATGATTCCATATGTTGTACTACAGAGACGAAGTATATTGAAAACTTATAATAATAAGGGCCTTTCCTGTTTATGTCAAAAAAAACACATTTTTTAATTGATCCTTCTAATAGATCATTTTAACACATGAAATAGATGCCCCCATTCGAGTAGACATCAGGATCAAAATACGGTCAAATTGGAATACATACTTCGATATCTTTTAGACAACAAGGTGAAGCAATTGACAAGGCCTATTGGTTTGCCAACATTCCCAATTCAACAAAGATCGGATTTCAAGCAATTTGAGGAACTAATGCATCCTAGCAAATTTGCGTATGTGGTAAGCCGCTTTCTTATTTATTTTAATTACCTTATATAAATGACGATGATATAATTAACACACTTGTAAGTACGTTTATCAACAGAAAAACAGATTAGCTGCTATTGAAGGTACCAACCTGAGATCAGCTACCTTGAATGGATTAAAATATTTGCTTGCCAATAAAGTTGCCAAGAGATTTAACTAAGCGCGAAATAATGGAAAGAGGGCCTTTAAATCTACGAAAACGTCAGAAGTTCTTGGGGGTATGAAATTCACAATTGTCTGTAACATATATGTAACCTTGTTCCTTTCAGATGCTGTGTTTCTACATTTTATCAACAACGGTATAAACGCGTCAGCTGAATTAACGGATAACACCATAATAAAAGCTACTCATGACTGGTTACGCCTGGTAACCTAGTGTTATAATTATAATAAAAATAAAAATAATTAATAATATATATTTAAAGTAACTTATATTTAAAAGAAACCAAAGGGATACCAAAAATAGAACATAATTTTTGTTTTTGTTAAATACATAGAATGTATAGAACTTATTTTTGCTACTTTATTTTGTTATTTTTTTTAAGGATTTTTGTTATTTAATATAAAACTATTTGGCTTTTATTGAAAATAAAATATGAAGAAAGAAATTCATTAAAAGACTTTTCATATTTGTAGAATTTCTTACAAGAATTCTTGCATAAGCAATGTACCCCCGCACTCCTCTATGTTTTTAGGAGATGACTATATTTAGGTTAAGCGCTTTTTTCTTAGACGAGTATTTCTGTTATCCTATAGGAAGTCTATATTATAATATAGACGTCGTATTATTTTTTTAGGAAATGTTTACATTCAGAATATAGATTGAGCACGACAGAGGTCTAACTTTGATCTAAATAATTGTTACTTTAGATGACTGTATAAGTATACTTATATTATAATAATAATAATAATATACTATAATAGTAATCTAAAGAAACAATTATTTAGATTAAATTCAGACCTCTGTCGTGCTTAATCTATATCCTGAATGTAAACATTTCCTAAAAACATAAATAAGACGTCTATATTAGGATTACAGATATACTGGCCTAAGAAAAAAAGCATTTAGCCTAAATATGGTCATCTCCTAAAAACATAGATAAAACATACATATATATTCATCTAAAAAAAGTAAGCATTTAGATTAAATTTAGACCTCGGCTCATTTTAAACTGAAGACGTCCATAATAGGACTACATATATACTATCTAAAACAAAAAGGATTTAGATGAATTTTAGATCTCTGCTCTGCTTAATCTAGTCTGAATATAGATATTTCCTAAATACATAGATAAGAGGTCCATATTAAAACTATATATGTATATATCATCTAAAGCAATACTTATATAAGATCAAATTTAGACCTATGCTCTTATAATGATATAATGACGTACCTAATATATACGTCTATCTCGAGGACATTTCGATGCCGATCTGCAATCTGAACAATACCATCTATAGATATCTGACGAAGACGTCTAATAATCATCTTTAAGATGAAACTGTGTTGCTTGGGATATTTTTATAAAACTTATATACCTATATTCAAAAAACGCAACTTTTTTGGAAATTAATTTTGTCCCTTTTTACTCATTTTGCGTGTTTTTTTTTTAAATGCTTTTTAAAATTTTGTAGCTATAATAGTATATTAAAGAACTAATGTCATAAGACGTCATTTTGTCGCACGCGGACAATTTATAAAACGAGCGACGAAGGAGCGAGTTTTATAATGGACAAGTGCGACAAAAGGTCTTATGACATGAGTTCTTTATGCTATTTTATCTATTTTGCAAATATTTCATAAAACAAATTAATTTTATACCTTATATTTAATTTGGTCGAATTTTACTTTACATAGTATCTTAGTTTGAAGTTTGAAAGGTCATTAACCTTTCAAACATTATCACATTCTTTCGCTATGGCGTCGTTAATTTACAATAAGTATTTACAATAAGCGGCTGTTAAAGAAGAAAAAAGGATTTTCTTTGGTGTTAAACAAAATTTATTGCACGAAAAGTCTCGTAAGTACTAGAAAACAAATCATAAAAATATTATAACCTATAGGTATTCAAAATTGTATTTTACCAGTAGCCAACCTATAAAATCAAAATTTTGGGTGGAATAAAGTACCTCATTAAAGAACCAAAAGCGGTGTTATAATGAAGTCATTATGAAACCAAAATAGATAAAAATTTTCTATAAATTGAATATTTAACTTAATTAAATTGGTCCAGTGTGGGACTGGACAATCTACGCTCGAAGTCGTGAGCTCTTCATTTCACTCAGCGTGTTTTTTTCTTTAATAATGCAATAATGCATCAACAAAAAATTAAGCAAATTACAAATTTTTAATACCCATTAAATTGAACTTTTAATAGACATATTATTATATAACTTAAATTTTTTTCCAACAAATTTTAAGGCTGAAAAGAGTTAACATTGTATTTTTAAAGTCGAAATTGTCCAAAGAAAAAGTATTCTGCGATTGTTTTTGCATCTGTATGACAAACAGACAGTTAATTAAAGAAAATCGTTACGTTATTCAAGTTGGCGGGGCCTAGCGTCGCGGGGGTTGTTAGGATCAATCCGAAAACCAGAATACATACAATTCAATTTATGCTCTTATGATTAAAAAAATAAAATTCCAACCGGTATACTGTCCGTTCAGGCTAAGTTGAGCGGTCTAAGGAATGTCAAGCCGTCCATTATCTCTATGTTCAGGCACAATTAAATACATGTATTTTGGTAGCCCCTCTGTATGAACAAACGGCAAGCCGCGGCACTGATAAATCATATTCTTGTCACCGAAATCTCGCGACCATTCGATATTTAATTTAATCAACGGCCACATGATCCCCTACCAAAGCGCTCAACTTAGCCTGAACGGACTGTAAAAGCATTCGGTTCCCATATAAAATCTTACACATTTACTGGCCTACGTGTGTTAAAAATAAATAATAATTAATTTTCCAGGCTCAACAGCAACGATTATTGTTATTGTGTTTTTTTCGTAAATTAAAAGTTGGTTTTTAGGATTTTTTGTTTTTTATAATTTTATTAATGTTTTAATGTTCTGAACGTTTCATTACATTTTATAAATTTTGTACTACTTAGATCTTTTAAAATTAACATACTATCATAACCAACTAACATTTTTAAAACAATTTTTCATAATAATATTTTTGGATTAAAGCCACACTTTAATTCCAATTTAATTTTACTACATCAATGTGACAATATCTCCTTGAGGTTTGTTTTGAACTCGTGTAAACATTGGCGACATACAAAAATATATACTATTATACTATTATATTTTTGTATGCAGTATGCCAATGTTTATAAGAGTTTAAGCTTATGTGAAATGTTTTTTTGGGAAAACAAAAAATACCCGTGTATAGCTGTGGGTTGCATACGTTAGTGCAGAGATAAATAAATAATAATAATAAAAACAAAAATAGCTATTTTTTCTTACCTTTGACTTGTTGCACAGACGTGAGTTTCTTTTCCCAATGGTCGTCGAAAGGCGTCGGTGCTTGGCTTTCGAACTCTTGCGTGTACTGTCTCATACCGCTCGCAGTCGTGTAGCAACATTTGCACATACACGAGTGATACCTTAATCTACCTTCGTCCAAGTAGGGATGCGCTAGGGCGTCCACGACCGTTATTCTCTTGTCCTTAAAGAAAATAAAACATTCGATAACACATTGTGCAATAAATAAAGGAAATAGGCGAATAGTTCGTTTGGCACGCGAGCGTAGTAAGCGGGGCAAGAATGTGGGTTTATATTCGACTATTCCTCACTGTGACTTTATGGCGTTTTAGTCACGGGCTGAAGTTACCAACAGTGGCTTTTGGGCATTTTAGTCACTACTGAAGTAAGCGTTTAATTAGTGTAACAATAGATTACTTTGTCCATTGTTTTTAAGCGTATAATGTCTCAATTCCAAGTGATAATTTTAAGAATTTTAGAAATGTGAAATATTTAAAAAAAATATCCATTACATATTTCGTAACGCCAAGTTTTGTATTAAATATTTAATTTAAATGTTTTATTTTCTTGTAAAACAGATAAAAATCTCTGTTTGACATTTAATCCACAGAACCAATATTTATAAACAGGACTAGTTAAATTGGTAAAAATTGAGGTTAAACCTGTTTGACAGATGTCAGATTGTTAAAGAGTGAGATTAAAACCACTTAAAAGTTGTCAGATAAAATGTCATGGCATATAAAATTGACTTTAAATTCTGAAAAAAAATTACTTTGCGTTCGTCGTAGATAAATTCGTTTTGTAAACTTTCAAACATCACTAATTTATTAAAAACTCGCTCTGCAAACTCGTGTATTAGATGGCGTTTATAAAACTAGTTACATAATATACTCACAGTTCGTCAGTTTAAAATTTTTTTTTAATTCCACACCTCTAATTTTTAACCAATCAAAACGTGTCAAACAGATCACAGATACCCAACATGTGTGGATTGTGAATATACCTATCTCCAATATGGGTATTTTCAATTTTTTTTTCAAACTGACGAACCGTGTACTATAATACCACTCTCCCCTATATGTATTATACTTGTATCCTAAATGCCCACAACAGCACAGTAATAATCAAATTCATCCGATAAATCTCGAATTACCTTGCATTAACATTTGATACGATATAATTTAAATCTGTTTCCGTGTGTGTGCGGCTAGCTACTAATCTCAGGTATGGTATAGTTAGACCGTAATTTCTGTGTACGTAAATTAGAAAATCAAATTGCTGTATATTAATTATGTTACAGATTCTGAAGGCGGTTCTAATGGTTACCATTATATACGGAAAATAATATTATTTCAAGTGAATTAAAGAAGAGTACTTAATACTTACGGGGTCAAACACCAACATTTGACACAACAAATGCACAACCTCGTGCGTCGCTTGCGAAGACAACGTGTAGAGGGCGCTCAAACTGGGCGGTTTCGGCGCCCGCCTGAGCATATGCGACCTCGCGCCTTCGCATGCGTACTTCATGTCCTCCATGGTGGGCGTCCCCAACAGTTCGGTGATCAGTTCTAACTGTTAAAATAAGACACATATTTGTAAGTGTTATAAATTTAAAAGAAATGTAGTGTGAACCCCGCGAATCTTTCAATTTTAGTGGAGTTCTTCTCTACATCAATATTAATATCACTAAAGATTTAAGATTTTATTTTTTTTAAACTTTATAAAATAATAAATATAATTTAAAAGTTACTTAAAAACGACAACTTTGGTGATATTTTAAACAAAGATTAGAAATATTCCCTAACACCAAAACAAAACACAAAGTGTTTAAAGTACTTCAGAAGCGAAGTGTAACTAAATCTAAATGCTAAATCTACCATATTTATACTAATTATAAGCTAAGGTTGACTGAACCGTAAACGGACAGTTTACTAAACCGTGAACCGTAATCGCTTCAGTGAACACGTAAAGAGAAACTAACAAACTAATTTATACCAACCAGAGTTGGGTACCGGTCCGTTATTGCTATTTAAAGATTTATTTTTATTCCTATAGATGTATAAACTTTCATAACTATCTAGCAGACTTGTTTCCCTACCTTCCTTAATACGTTTATTTGACAACCTTAAAATTATTAAGGAAGTTAGGGAACCAAGTCTGCTAGATGGTTATGAAGTTTATACATCTATAAGAAAATAAACAAATCTTTAAAGAGCGATAACGGACCGGTCCAACTCTAGTTTGTATAAATTTGTTTGTTTGTTTCTCTTTACTTGTTCACTGAAGCAATTACGGTCCAGGGTTTAGTAAACTGTGTCTGTTCACGGTTGTCAACCTTAGCTTATAATTAGTATAAATAAGGTAGATTTAGCATTTAGATTTAGTTACACTTCGCTTCTGAAGATGCCAACATCGTTGGCGAAAAATACTTTAAGCACTTTGTGTTTTGTTTTGGTGTTGGGGAATATTTCTTATATATTATATTAAAAAATTTAATAAATTTAATATTAAAAGTTCAAATATTTAGTGATACATTATTTTGATGTAGAAAATACCTCCACAAAATTTGAAAAATACTCGTGGGGGTCACACTCCAAAAAACCTAAGTACATGTGTACTTAAAGTCATTGGATGGAGAAGTTCTTAAACTTGAAACTGATATTTACCTGTTGTACGGGGTTTTGCGCCTGGAAGAGGATTCGACGGCCAAGGAGCTCGCCGAAGATGCAGCCTACTGACCAGACGTCCACCGCCGCGTTGTAATGTTTGGCGCCCATTAGGATTTCGGGCGCGCGGTAATACTGCGTCACCACCTCTTGGGTCATGTGTTTGTTCGCGTCCGGCTCTTCTACTCTCGCTAATCCAAAATCACAGATCTAAAATGAAGAAACATATACAGTTTTTGTTATATTACTATGTACGGCTTAGTATGTAGGTAGTACCCTATTTATAGAAAAATAAAGGTTGTAATAAGTGATTTTTATGAGAAAATAAGAGGTAAAAGTATCCCCTTTTGGTAATTATATTAGTACTAAAATCAACATTTTTACTAAGCATAACTAAATATGAAATAAGGTAATTTATTTTTTAATTATTGTAGTTTTACTGAAAATGTCAAGTGTAATTAAAATTTGTAACTGTCAGTAACTGTGAACTATAATTTAATATAATACAAGAAAAAAGCGTTTAAATGCAAAACCAAGTTGTATTTTGAAATAGTAAAAGGCAGGGTCCGAAAATTGGGTTTTTCAAACTGAAATAATTAAATACTCGAAAAGTACTACTCAGGAAATATTATATTCTGTAACAAGTTTGGAATATGCAATTACAAATGTATTTCAGACTATAGTTTTTCTACTTTTCCAAAAAAAAATACAATAATTTAATTGAGAGAAAGTGGGGTTGTTATATAATAAACACCGAGATGGCGCCACCAGTGTTTATTCCGTCATCCGATGATAGAATAATTCTTTCTGTAACAGTTTAAGGAATATGAGTACATTAGATGCAAAACTAGGTTTTTGCAAATTTTTAAAAATATATATTTTATCCTATTTTTGTACCACCAGATGTATAAGTTAGTATTTGTAAAATAAAATACATTTAAAAACTTAACGCAGATGCAAAACTGGGTATTTGTTTCTTCCTGTCGGATGCAATACTCGGTATTTGCTGTTGACCAATCACGTCGCTAGTATACGCATTACGTGACGACATAACAATCACCTGATTAATTGTTATAACAATCACCTGATTAATTGTTATTTTTTGGTATTTGCACTTTTCACTTGCAAAACTTGGTCTTTGAACGAGGAAGATGCAAAACTATGTTTTTAAATCTTTTGATACAATTATTTTGAATAAAAATGTCTATACAATTTTTGCATTTAAAAAAAAAATGATTTTATGAGCGGTTTTTCATGTTTTTCTTAAAATCACTTATCCTGCAAATACAGAGTTGTGCATCTAATGTACTCATATATGTAATTCCACATTAAAAAGTGACGTTAGAACGGTCATAATAGGAGTGGAAAAAATTAGTTATATTACTTGAAATCGCGTGGTAAAAAACAGTTTTTAAAAAGTCAAGAAAATTATACAAACATAAATCATACACTTTTTTTCAAAACTCATAGGAAATTCTAGTAATACTGTATAAAACTATGTATTTAATAATAATATATAATTACATATAAGTTTTCTGGAAAATATATTACTCAATAATTGATTTGAATAATTATTTAGGAATGATTCACTAGAATGGTGAAATTGCAGTAGGATCTATTATGTTTTTAATTAATTTTAATATATTTTTTAAATTCATCAAGTTTTTAAAATTCTAATAAAAACTTGATAAATTAAAAAAATATATTAAATTTTGTAGGAAAAACTTGGTTATTATGCGTTTTGCGAAAAAAATGCATTATTTGAAAAAACTCCCACTGGTTAAAAAAAAGGATTCCCATAAAAAAATGTACAGAAATTAAAAAACATTAATGTACTTCAGAAGAGAAGTGAGTTCATTGCGTTTTACAAAAAAATAATTCTTCGTAAAAACTACATCAATAAAACATTAAAATGCTTCAAGAGAGAAGTATCTTGCGTTTTACGAAAAAATGAATTCTTATTAAATACTATTAAAAAAATGAGATTACAATAAAAAAATTGAATCAAATGTATAGAAATTAAGAAAACATGAAAATTATTTAAGAAAGAAGTACCTTTATTTACTATATTATAGAAAAAATAACATGATAAAGTGGTTGACAGTTTAATTCAGTGTAAATACGAAATAAAAAATAATTTATTAATAATTTAATTATTTTTAATTAATATTAATTATCTTTTAAACCAGCAGGAAGTTTTATGAAGAAGGATTTTTTTTTAAATAAAATTTTAATTAAATCCTAAAACCAAACTAAAAAATCATAAAAATCTTTAAACCAAACTTACCTTTAGAACACAGTTGCTGTTAACTAATAGGTTGCCAGGTTTAATATCTCTATGTAATATCCTAGCTGAATGCAAATATTTTAAACCTAAAAACAAAATACACCAATTAACATTCCCATCGCATTGTAACTATAAGGTCATATTTACCTCTAAGTATTTGATATAGGAAAACTTTTATATGATCTGAAGACAATGGCTGGTGCGAAACTATAATCTTATGTAAATCACTTTGTAATAATTCTGTAATGACATATCTAAAGAAAAATAGTTAAGAAAAATAGCAATAAACTTAAATAATAATAAATTTAAACTTTCGCAGTTAATCTCGCAGAGTGGCCAAAGAACACGAAAAAACAATTAATTTCTTTTGTGTTATATAAATATCGACAACCTTGGTTATTTGCTTTGGCTAAATTCGGAAAACAAAGAAAAACTATTTTTGTTTCTATGTATCGAACGTATTTGTACAAGGACGGAAATAATAATTTTTAGAGTAAAAACATCATTTAATTATTATGTGTATTAGCAAATTTGTTATACTTTAAACCACTCTAATAATATTATTAATTAATAATGCTTCATTAAAAATAAAAATCATAACTAAGGTAATAAAATTAATCCAATTAGGTACTATCTCTATAAATTAAATTTTGATATACAACCTAAATTATTGTATTTACAAGATAAGAAAATAGCACTAGGCAGGTACTCAAAAACAAATATAGATTCTACAGAACAATAGCATTTATCTACACCGCAAAATAAAATAAATAAGGGTGTACTAGTAATACATTTTGTATATTATCGTGTATATGGAAGATACATTAACATTTACTGGCGCATCAGGATATTTTTTAATGGAATAATTATTTTGCAAGAAATTGCGGACAAAGTTTTTTGTCTTTTTTATTTTCCTAAAAACATCGTTTCTGATTTTTGAAATTTGCAGATTTCGGTACATATTTTATTATATCCAATATTTAAATAAGTTTCGTTTTAGTTAGTTAGTTTAGTTAGAATATTTATTATATAATATTATGGTATAGTATATTCTGTAACTAGTTTGGAATATTCCGCTCGGGTGAAAAGTTTCAAAAGGTTTCACGAGAGCAGAATGTGCAATTCCAAATGTGAGGTTGGATCAGTCTAAAAGTTGTTATATAATAAGCACTGAGATGGCGACACCAGTATTTATTTATCACATACTAGTATGTGTTATTCATCCGCTGATAAAATGAATTCATTTCGATGATAGAATGAATTCATTCTGTGACATTTTAAGGAATATATGTAATTCCACATTAAAAAGTTATATTAGAACGGTCATATTCCGTAATAAGAGTAGAAAAAGCAATTTTTTAAGATGTTTCTCAAACTAAAAGTTAAAATTTGGGAATAATAACAAGATGTGTAATATATCACCATATAAGATTAACAAGTTTCTTAAACTTAAACGCCTAAACTCTAAAGTTGAAGACGAGTCACTTAATTACAACTACAAATAACAGGTAAGCGGATCCTAAACATATTTTTACAAGACACTATAAATTTAACCCTGTCTTACCAAAAACATTAAATTAGCATTAATTAGATACTTTATAACCAAAATAAGGGATAATTACATATTACCAACCTAAAATGACCCCCAATCCTATACGAGCTTGTATTTAGTTGGTAGACAATTTTATTTTAGGTTGCAATAATTACGAAATTACTACCAAACTTAATGGAATGGAATGTAAAGCTTTCCTTAGTTATACCAATCAATGTTGTCAATATGTTGGTGGTTAATTGCTCGTTAAATTAATTAAGCAACATTACATCCTTTACATATAAAAAAAAAGGCTTTATAATATATGCCTGGACCATGCGCAAGGCGTGGGGGGTTGGTGGTTCAAACCCCCCTCATTGAAATTCGCAAAAAAAAAATATTAGACTACCTACTCAAAATTTACCCACAGAAAATTGTAACTGTTAAAACAAAACCAATAACCACTAAAATAAACAAGAAAACAACCATCAATTAAGTACTGCAAACTTCAGAGACATCTATTATTATTATTCTAATGTACATTATGTTTGTAATTTTTATAAAGTATAAATTAAATTTTGTTTTTTTGCAAAAATTTAATGATAACCTCCACATGAGAAAATCCTGTTTAAGTGTCAATAGAATAATGGCATTCTAAAAATAGAAATAGTAAATATTAAAAAAGTTACGGATTACAAGTGCAAACTACTTAATAACTTTTTTTCTTCTATTTGCATATTGAGTTTAATTTTGGACCTCCTCACGCAAGGGGGAGTACTAAAAAGTTAAATGAGGGTGATGAGAACGCAACCCTCACTGTTCTTCCCACGATTGCTTTTGTTTTTGCACAGCCACCCGAGTGCTTCGAATGCACGACGACGTCTGCACAATTTGGCTTTTATTGCGTCGCGACGCCTCGCGGTATTTGTGCATGCATTCATCTTTAAGGTTTTATTTTTTTTGTGTTCAAAATAGTTATTAAACTAATTTAACCTAAGATCATTGGTAATGTGGCTATAAGTTCTAATTAAATTCAAAATTAACAATTTTAATTTTTATAAAACTTTTTGTTTAACGTAGAATCTTATTAAAGTTAAACAAGGTTTTTCTAGATAAAACTCGCAAAATCGTAGATTCATCCATCCCCTGTCGTTTCTTATCTTGCCATACTAGATGGGTATACGTAAAAAAGAAGGAAGGAGGCGTGAGTAAGTTTTCTCGAAACGGTCGAGAGAACACACGGACGGTGGCTCAAACCGTTGGTCATCGGCTTCCTCGACCGGCCTCAGCCATCAAGGCCGTCGGGCCCACCGCAGAACGGGGGGGCCCGCTTTGGACCGTCGGTATCGCCCCTCTTCAGGGTCAGTGCCGGATTTAAGGACCTCCCCGTTTTCATAAATTTTCGTGTTTTACATATTTTTTAGTCCAGAAAATTTAGACATTCACATTAAAAATTAGTGCAAAGGAAAATTTTAGAGGTGGCTTGGGAATAACTTGAGAACGGTAGGCATAAAGACAATAAAGGTAAGTAAAGAATTGTAGACAAGTCAACTCTACAAAAAATGTACTTTTTCGTAAAAATGACCATTCGTGAGATAAAGTGCTTGAAATGATTGCTCACTCTTTTCCCCTAAATCCGTTACTGTTTCTATAATACTAAAGGAACAAATCACAAGCGGAGCAAAGACCCGACAGGGCCGGTACAACGACTTTACGCTTTTTAAGAACCATATACCTGTTCGCTGAAAGATCACACCAGAACCTTTTGTGTTACAGGTAAACTAGTTCGGATGCATTCGGATCACGAAATGTTTTATATTGTTTTAATAATAATAATAAACTGTATTAGCCCAACAGGGTTTCCTCCAATTACAGGACAACATAAAATATATGAAAATATTTTTAAATATGCTATAAAAAGAAAGAATATATAAATAAGCATCCATGCAGAATCCACATTGTATACAAATTAACACATAAACATTAATGTGAATTATGAATTCATATCTATACATATCTAGGTACTTAAATATATCGCATGTGTAGGAGTTTTTGCATTTCACGTTGATTGAGGCTCGATTCATTAAATTTGTTCTTAATTTTGGAATTTTAAACGTATTAAATGATGTTAAGTTAATTCTAGGTACGTTGATGTTTAACTTGGACGTTGAGCGTTCTAGATTACGTGATAATTAGCCGGAATAAAATAAAAGTCTGAAGATTGTAAAAAAAGGTTTTAATATTTATGGGGCAAAATAAGAATTACAGAACGCCAGAAAAATGACATGCATAATAGTATATTAAAGAACTAATGTCATAAGACGTAATTTTGTAGCAAGCGGACAATTTATATAATGGACGAGTGCGACAAAAGGTCTTATGATATGAGTCCTTTATGCTATTTTATCTATTTTGGAAAAATTCCATAAAAAAAATAATTTTATACCTTAAATTTAATTTGGTCGAATTTTTTTTAGATAGTTGGTATCAGTCATTGGTTTGACAGTTAATGTCAAAATCGATTCGCCATGCCGGGCTTTATTACTGTCAACGCTCACTACCAAAGTATTTGATTATCTCCTAGGCTGTCAGACTAATCAGGTAAAAACAATTACATCCTAGGACCACTACAAAAATTTGATACCTGTGACAACTCTGAAGCCATCTAACCTCACTTTATACTTTTAATAATTGCAATTAACAATTGTAGTGTTATGTATCATTTAACAAATAAAACTGTGCCTTGAAGATAAAATGTTGTATGCCATTCGGCTAAGACGTGTCTTTTTATGCTTCGCTCAATTGTAGGCCTCCGCTAACGTGTCGGATTTCCAACTTTGAACTCAGCACAAACAGACACTTCTCAGCCTTATGAAATAAATAAACATTGTTTCTCATTTAAATGATATAAATATAAATATTATTATTATTAAAAAAAATAAGTTGGAGAGCATTTCAAAAAATAACGTAATTTTCCAAAAATAAACTTTGTAGCGTTACTAACAAAAGATGGTAATAAATAAGGTAAAATAATGTTGCTCCGTTAGTTGCTCTGCGCGATTTTTCTCCTAATGAACTTGATTAACGCCGGTATAATATGCAATTAGCAATTTTTATTGTATTTTGTGGGCGATAAAAGTGTGCGGCATCATAAGGAAATTATTCGAATAATTGCTCCGGCGCGCAGTGTTACCGACCCCACGTTGCCTCCGCAAGAGTAAAACTTGGAATTTACGAGTTTGCTTCTCTCGATGACCAGCGTGCGTAAGGTCAACTTTTTCGCTGCAGCGATTTTCCTATTCAGCAATAAAGAATTTAAAACGCGGAGCCGCTGTTCTGCTGTTGCTTGGCTTCGTTCGTAATGCCTTTGAAGATTTTCTTGTTCCTTTTTACATTTTGTTGCAACAAGATGCAGTCTATCTAAGATTTTTTTTAACTGAATACGATTTGATGTTTAAAAATGCCAAATGATGAACAATTTCTCTACTAAATGGTTAATGATTAAAAGTTAAATGTGGCAAACTTAAATGAACACTTAAACATATTAAAATTAACGCACATTTCCGGCATATTTAATTGGCATGGTTAAATAAGAGTAGTGCATTAATTGCAAAGGATTTTTTAGCATGTCGGAACGTTTAACCCTTGATATAAAAAAATTTAACCTCACATGACTTGGTGTCGCACTCGACTATTCTTAATTTGCAATTTCCTTTTGGAACTTAATTGCCTGGAAAGATTGTCCGCCATATTGCAAAGGAATACTTTAGTTTATTTGTACTTTAGATTGGTTGTTTTTTTATGCAAAAGAATACTTTAGTTTATTTGTACTTTAGATTGGTTGTTTTTTATGCAAAATTATTAAAATAATATGCAACTGTTTGTTCTCACGCTTTATACTTAATCGCGATGTAATTTCTTCAAAGAATTCTCTAAAAATTTTATCCAGCACTTACTATTTGTTACGCGGTATTACCAACATTAGACAGGTGGCATTCCTAGATTTTTTCCACCAAGTTAATTTGATATAATTGTTATGTCAGATAAGAATTTTACTTGATGAAGCGTGAGACTTCTAGATAAAATAGGATCTCCGGCATAAATTGTAAAATATTTAAAAGTATTCAAACTTTTATTTCAACATGTACAAAAGATTTTCAATGGGGAATAAAAAAAAGTGTTCGGTTCAAATGGAGCATTCTAATCATCTATAGCATGCTATGCATATGCTAATTAATTCTACAACACATTTTTTAGCATATGCACCATGGTTAATCATAAAAATTCGTCAGAAATTAGCGGTAATATTGCCTATCATGTTTCAGTAAATAAATCATCGGTAATCAAAGCGTTCAGTAATTATATTCGGTCGACGTGTTCGGGTCCAACTGACATATGACATGTATGTATGTATCGAATCGATGAAACTATATGCATACCTACATGTAGGCAAACATACACACGAGGGGATGCCAGATTTATGTGGTTGCAAAATATTCTATAATTTTTAATAATTACATTATTTACATTTTTATGGCCATTTATGTTTTTTTCTATTTTAAATCAAAAAGAGCAGTTTTTGTCATTTAATGTTTTTAATTTACTTATGTTTTCATAATTCTATAAAATCTTAAAGTTTTGAATTTAATTTTTTTTTCTTCTCCCACCTTTAAAACGCCCATTACTAACGTACATGTTTCCATGACAACAAGTGACCTTTTAAATACACATTAACAAGTTGTGGCTTTATGGCGTTTTAGTTACGGGCTGAAGTTTGCAACAGGTTTTTAGTCACGGGCTAAATTTAGTTTTAAGTTAGTTAACAGTTGTCAAATGTCATACAATTGTTAAAATAAAGTGCTTATCTTGTAAAATACTAAAATGTAATACTAAATGTAAAAATTATTTTATTATCTTAGTACAAAAATACAAAAGTATTAAATAGTTTCTCAACGCCAATATTTGAAAAGTTCATATGAACATTGTACTGACCTTTAAGTTTCGCCGGCAGTAAACTAGATTTAACTTTATTTTGGGCGAAGACTCCACCGTGGAGTGCCCATAAAACATTTTCTTTACTTTCACTGTGAAAAACTGTTGTTAGTCCATTTTTAAGGGATACATTTCGATTTACACTATTTTTGTATAGATGTCGCTCTATACATATATTAAATTTAAATCATTTTTAGAAAATAATAAATATTTTTCGTAGAAAAAGTAGTTTGGAACTCGTTTATAAACTTTTCTAGAAACTCATTTAATTAAGCACTCGCTCGAAAGCACGCTCGTGACTAAAATGGCGTTTATTAAACTTGATATTTAAGATTTTTAAAATTAAATTTTATATTAATTGTTTTATTTATATAAAATTTTACAATTCTTAACGACGTTAAATATGTAGGTAATAACAAAGGTACGATAAAACATAAAATGCATGTGGCAACCATGTTTATATCAGCTGCCTTATTTGAATTGATTGTGCAAGAACCTTAAATGTATTTTTTTATAATTAAAATGACTCCCCCCATCCTATTTGTAATTCAAAAGTTTTATGTTTGTGTTTCGTTGAATTTTCAGGATTTCATGTCAAACACAGCAACGTCCAATATTTTTTATTAGCAAATTCCATCTCATTGATCAAAATTTTGAAGGTGACATGATTGGGTACCTTATTTTATTTATCTCTTTTGTTCAAGGGAATAGCGTATTTGTAATTTCTAAAAATGTTACTCAAATGCACTTTGCTGGGTTGGATATTAAATCCTGATTTTCTATATTTAATATTCGAATAGTTTTTCCTAATTTTAAATATTTTTCAAAAAATGTCTTGGGTTATTTTATAAAATCTGGAAATATAATTTTTGAATATTTTTATGTATTCCATTGCCATTTATTTAATACGAAACTATTTTTTGTATATCTTTAAAATTTGTTTATGCCTTTTAGCCATTTTTCACAGAATATATATTTTTTACTTTGTCATTGACCTGGCAACCGCGCAAAACAAAACACTATAGAGCGGCGGGAAATCGCTTCCCATAATAGAGAAGGCCGGGCGAAAGGGGAGGGGGTGGAGCCACCACCGCCGTTCAGCCAGGCAGCAGCGCACAGCAACACAGTGTTGCCAGACATATTTTTCTAGACCTAGAGAATCTACTATTGTTAGATAGAGACCGAAAGCATCGCACAAATAAAATCTGTATTAGATACAGATACAGTGTATCTGCCTAAAAATCCCCCACAGCATGCTGTGATACCCATATCTACTTCTACATTTAAAACACTAGTTTAAGTTATTTCAATTAAATTGGGAAAAAATGAGGTTAAAACAGACCGATGTCATATTGGTAAAAAGTGAGGTTGACAGTTGTCAGATAAAATGTAAATTAAATTGACTTTAAATTCTGAGAAAAACATAACATAACGTCTTATACATGGAATTCAATTCGTGTTATGAAGTTCTCAAGATCACTCGTTTTTTAAAAACTCGCTCCGCATAATTAAATTCGAGTATAAAACTATTTGCGCCATAAAAAAAATCCGTCTAATCTAGGATAAAAAAAAATCCGCCTGGCAACACTGTAGCGATTTGAGAAGGGTGTGACGTCACAAAACACGTGTGCCTTTTAAAAAGCGTCGTTGAAATTTCACTCCCTTCCGACGAACGTATTCGTAAGTGCGTAACTTTTACGATAAAATCAGGCGTGAGAATTGAATAAATTTATAGTTTTTAATTCAATGCTGTTAAATCCGCCATCTTTGACGCCACTCAAAATACCAAAAAGCCCTGTCCACTAAAAAAACATTTTTTTACCTTTTCAACGTTTTTCATACCCATTTATTTTTGCATTTTTTTCGGATAAATACACTTCGCCTCAAATTAAACGCACCACTAAAAATTTGCCACAATTTCAAAGATGACTTTCTCGCGAACCGTGAAACCGAATTTGGTGATTTTTTTATTAAATTGTAGGTTTATTCTTCGGTAATAATGCGTTTTTTCAGTGTAATATTCGTGAAACAACGCTACTTAATGGAGGTTCTGTAATGGTTTGGGGAGGAATTTTCTTGACAGCTCGCACAGAACTCGTCATTGTTCGGGGAGGTACCAAGAAAAGTGTTCGATATATCGAGGACATTTTATCTGAGCATGTTGTCCCTTTCGCCCCGTACATCGGTAATAATTTTTTACTGATGCAGGATAACGCAAGACCTCACACCGCTCATATAGTGCAAGAGTACTTACATGAGGTGGGTGTTGAAACTTTAGACTGGCCTGCAAATAGTCCGGATCTCAACCCCATTGAGCATTTTTGGAATAATATGGGTAGACGACTAAGAAATCATGATCCCTTACCTGCCTCCCTTGATGACGTAGCAAATATGCTACGAGAAATATGGAATGTCATTGATCAAGGCGAGATTTGACATGTGGTTTCGAGTATGAGCCGTCGATTTGAAGCCGTAATTAGAAGTAGAGGCGGAAATACGCGATATTTATATTCTTTTTACATATATACATTTTTGTATTAAACTGGAGTTCTTTAATATTTCACTGTATATTTCTTTTAAAAATAAAGATAACGCGGTGAATTAAAAAACAAAATGTTAAGAGAAGATGGGGCTATAGTTTGATTATAAGAGACATATGCTGTTATAGCTGGTACAAACCACAGGGCGTTTCAAATTTACAGGAACAAACTTGTTATTACTTTATTACTCAAAACGTAAATTTAAAAAATATTTTAATAAAGGCATCATAACCAAAGAATAAACCTACAATTTAAAATAAAAACTACCAAATTCGGTTTGACGGATCGCGAGAAAATCAACTTTAAAATTGTGGCAAAATTTTAGTGGTGCGTTAAATTTGACGCGAAGTGTAATTAAGAATATATTAAAAAGGATACATTTCTTGGAAGAAGTCTAAATGCGGCGGTTGAAGTATATCTAATGCTGAAAGGACCTGAAAAAAATTTAGTCAAATATTATAAAATATTTTTTTATAAATCTAAATTCAATTCAATTCAAAAAGATAACATGTTTATAGACTAAATAAATTCAGTAAAAAAGATATAGTGTGTTGAATACATTTCGTTGGTTTGCAAATTACAAACTTAGTTTACCTTAATATTATTAACAAAGGCAAATCCAATTTGATTATGATTTACGGGACAACACAAATATTAATCGGTTTGTGTGTATACAGAGGGTCCGGACACACGTAATGTACAGGGTAAACCATGTATATAAAATATTATTTTGTATCTCATGTTGTATTTATATCTTTATTAATAATAAATTTACAAATTAATTAAAAAATATATATAGAGGGTGTTTTTTATTCCAAATAAACAACAAGGCTAAATCTAAATGTTAAAAATCGATTTGTTTTTTACACTGCAAGAATCTTACATCTAATATCAAATAGTTTGGACCACTCGGTATATTACATATAATAGGCATACACAGGCATGTCTACGAATTAACGCACAGCAATTCCGAAACTTCCAGATAGTGATCAATAGTCCTCCGACAGTCTAGCATGGCTTGGTCACGGTTTAGGGTAGAGAGGGGGAATGGCGACCACCTAAGAAAAATTAACCATAAAATAGTTTTGAACCAATATTTTTACTTTTTGAAAATCGGAATAGAAAGACTAAAGTCTAAAGATTATTCATGCATCAATTCAGAAATACAACTCGAATAGTTTTTCAAAAAAAAAAAATTCTTAACAAAGTGCTTTTGGTCGTCATTTCCCACGTAACGGGGTAATTACGACCAAGTGCAGGGTAATTACGATTAAGTGCTGGGTAATCGCAACTAGGTATATTTGACTTGTGATGCTATAAGACATTTGACTTATGTTATTATAAAAAAAATTATTAAATTCATAACAAACTAAAATTAACAGGTATTCAATAATAATAACAAAACAACTAATGATATACTTGAAAATATTACAAGAATTTACCCTGCTTTAAATAAACACGAATTGACTGAAGCCAATGTAGAATTTCTGGTTACCGACTGTTTTGGTTAGGTTAGGCTACTAAAGGCTAGGTGAGGCTACTAAAATATTGTACATAAATATTACCTTACTATGAAAGTTTTGATGATCGTTATTACCCGCTGGTCGTCATTCCCCCACTTTACCCTACATATTTGAACTAAGTACGTCAAACCAAATAAGCGGGTTCTTTTTGACCATATAATAACTATACTTCGTTAATGGTGGACGGCATCGTTTAAAACGTTAATGTTCGTTAAAATGGATGTAGCTTTAGAACAGGGTATATGTATCAAGATTACCCGCATTAAGAATTAGTTTAAATTAATGTATAAAGGAATGATTTGAGTAAACTTTATTTAGTCGGTCATTTTAATGTAAGTGGAAAAAACTATGAACATCAAACAAGTGCATGGTTACTTACGTTTTCGTGTTTGAAAAAGCACAGCATTTTTAATTCTCTAAACACCCTTTTGGAGGAGACGAGGGATTGGAACACATTGGGTAACTTTTTCAGTGCCACTCTTCTTCCGTCCCGAGGGTCCGTCACAGCCCTGCAAACAAAAAATAACATAATAAATCACACGGGCTTTGCCAGAAATTCAACGTCAAAAGATTAATGTTGCCAGAAACGCACAGTGGCCACACAAAAATTCTCAATCTACGAAAATATATATATTTTGTATGTACGAGTATATAATTTTGGTCAATTTTGCAAAATAAGAGGTATAATCGACAAAAATAGTTAAACAGCGATTTAAAGTGAGCGGAATATGCAATTCCAAACGTGTTTCAGACTATACTTTTTCTACGTTTCCAAAAAATACCATAGAAAAATAATTTAATTGGAAGAAAGTGAGGTTGGATTGGTCTAAAATTTGTTAGATATTAAAAACAGAGATGTCGCCACGAGTGTTTATTCTGTCATCAGAAAAGCATGTAGCTGATGATCTTAAAAATAAATTTCGGAAGATTTTTTTTGTAGTTTTTATTTTCAAACTTTTTTCTAATAAAAACCTAGTATTTAAAATAAAATCCATTCGTTGAACCTAGAACATTTTTTCAAATTATTCATGGACGTCGAACCCATTTTTTTTCAACGAATAATAAGACTAAATCATTAGTTTTACATCTAGGATTCTCTCATTCAATGAATCATTTTGATACATGTATATTAAAATTTTCGATGAATAAACGTCTGGGAAAATTCAATGAGTATCTAGTTGTGACGAAATGTCTACAAATTTACATTCGTTCGATAAAATTAGTTTGGATTTATTAAGCTCGTATTTAGTTCCAAGGTTAAATTTATGTGAGAAAAAACAGAAAAAGTTTTGTGACTTTATAAATTGATTTTGAAGAAATAACACAAAGGTTGCTAAAAAACATAAACCCTAAAATAATACTTTCAACTCTTAAAATTACTTAAAACGATTGTCCTCCAAAACTGGAAAAAGATTAGTCATAGCTACATCGAACGTAAATATATTATCGAAACCGTTCGATCGCAGTTGCATTGACAAGTGACAAGTGAAGTGCGGCATGTGTGAAAGTCACATTTTGTTTTCCAAGGATTGCTCGTTATTTCGCTCAATGGCTGCACCACTGTCGCAAAGTCACGAATCAATTTACGTAATGCCACTTGCAAAATATCTATTTCTCTAGCTGTTAGATGTTTTTCATTTAAATAAATAAATTAAATGTTTACGTATACCTACTAAGATATCGGCCAAGATTTTCACTTAAAAGTTAGACATTGTTAAGTGATATTTACATTATTATTTAAAAAATATACAATAAAACAAAAATTATCAATATATCATATATCAAATTAAAAATCATTTAAAAAGTACATTTTCCATATAAAATTTCCATAAAAAAACTAGCTGTATACCCGCGTGCACGCATGGTTCTAAAAAAATAAAGAGTCATAAAATTATTGTTTCTTTGTTTGTCCCAGTCTCGTCCCGTCCCCGTCCTATCCACTCCCTTTCCAAAATCCAAGACACCATAACAAATTTCTGTTCAGCTGTCAAATAGTTTCAAAAATGGCGAATGCACCGGGATTAATTAAAACAAAATTTTGGATTGTCCCATTTTTCCATTGGGGATAGAATTTCAAAAAAAAAATTTTTTCCAACGGTTATCCATGGATGTCATTATAGGAATGCAATGTCAAAATTGTAGGCGTTTAGGTCAAGCGATTTGGTCTGGGCGTTGATGAATTAGTAAGGACATTTAAGTATTTTTTTCCCATTTTTTCCTTGGGGATAAAATTTCAAAAAAAGTATATTCTGTAACAAGTTTGGAATTCAGCATATTCCGCTCGAGTGAAGAGTTTGTCACACGAGCCGAAGGCGAGTTTAACGGTTTCACAAGAGCGGAATATGCAATTCCAAACGTGTTTCAGACTATACTTTTTCTACGTTTCCAAAAAATACCATAGAAAAATAATTTAGTTGGAAGAAAGTGAGGTTGGATTGGTCTAAAATTTGTTATTTGATATTAAAAACAGATATGTCGCCACGAGTGTTTATTCTGTCATCAGATGATGAATATTTCATTCTGTAACACTTTACGGAATATATGTCATTCCATAGATAAAAGTGATATTAGAAGGGTCAAATTCCGTAATAGGAGTAGAAAAAAATATTTCCTAACGGTTATCCCTGCATGTCATTATAGGAATGCACTGTCAAATTGTAGTTCAGGCGTTGATGAATCAGTAAGGACAATTAAGTATTTTAAGTATTTTTTTAAATTTTAGTATACCAATAAGTTTAATTTAATTTTAAGGATAAGAAAGACCAAATAAAAAGTATGTTTTTAAATTTTAGTTGACCAGAAAGTTCAGATTTAGTTTTAAGGTTAAGAAAGATGAAAAATTATTTAATATATTTCTTATTTTTCAGAATTTTAAACCTTTTAATTTTTAAATTTTTCCTTATTTAAAATTAGTATATTATGTGTCAAGTTTTATAAACTCCATTTTAGTTACAAGTTTTATTAGACACGAACGAAGCTTGTGAGGTGGTGTTTAATAAAATACCCAAAAGCCACCATTGCTAACTTTAGCACATGGATAAAATGCCATAAAATCACAGCTTGTCATTGTAGGAGTAGATAATACGACACACAGAAATAATATTTTTATTTAAACATTCAATTCTCTTAGTTTCTTTAAAAAACTTTCCTGACCCATTGAACCACACGTGGATCACGTTATGTTCTTACATCTCGCGTCTGTTGGCTTACCAACGCAGTATATAAGCTCAGGTAGTCTTTTGTTTTGGGTGTGTTTCACTTAGAGATGGGACATCGGTCAACAAACATCGATGTTTATCATCGATGTTTGAAAGATGTTAGCTACCAAACATCGATGTTTATCAACATCGATGTTGTTTAAGCAAATAAAAATTAACAGAAAGTTAAAGGCAATTTTTGTAAACATAAGCCTTTCTTCATAAAAAAATCCATAATTACTTCACCAGTTGAATTTTCTTATTGAAGTTTTTTAATTAAACGCTAGATAGCACTAGAATATCCGTCGCTCACATACCTACTTCCACAAGTATGGGCCGTCGCTTTGGACGTAAATTCGATGTTCGATATTTTTCTTGTAACATCGATATTTTATCGACAATAACATATTGCAAACATCGATGTAATGAATAAACATCGATATATATCGCCCATCTCTAGTTCCACTACACCAAGTTGCCCGAAAATATAGGTCGAAACAGCTGTCTGTCGGTATTTAAAGTTGGTGGAATGAACTCAAAACAAAAAACTTTGGCGAGGTGTAGGTTCAAATCTTTCTTACCAGTTTTACTTCATAAAATTTGACAAATTTAACCTCACTTTTTCGCAATTTATAATAAGGATAACTTCAGCCCGTGAATTCCCAAAAGCCACTGTTATTAACTTCAGCCCGTCACTAAAATGCCTTAAAGTCACAACTCATCAATGTAGGAGTAGATAAATACTTTATTTTCATACATAAAGTCAAAGATGTTGACATGACAAATCCTAAATAAGATGTAAATGCGTAAATAACTTAACAGTTTTTATCTCTATCAATAACGATATCGAATGTTTTTGTTTTACAAATAAATTTATATTTATACATTATTATTATCGTATTTTTAGGGATAATAAGTCACTTTAGTCCTAGTATTTTTTTTAATTCACGAAAAAAATAAAAATGTTAGTAAACTTTTTGACGTAACAATTCGCAATTATCTAACACCACCATCAAGGAAAAGTAAAATTGTCATTGGCAACATAACAGTATTTTCATGGAAATAAATGCGACCTTACTATATTTTCTTTGTGCATTATAAAAACACTGCACGGCCTTCTTGATTTCCGTTTAGTGCTTAGGCTCAAACAAACGAACCACGTCAATATAACTTCCTTTTTCAGTTAGTTAACTGTTCATTAGGTTAAAAAAAATAAAAGAGCAAATGTATAAATTTATTGTAAAAAATAGAATGTCAATTAATGCTCGATTTTTATTAAGTTTTGCAATTTGTTTGAGAGCTACCAAGCTACTAAGAAGCACGTGCTTTGTGATTGGCTATTTTTAGATACAAAGACGTTATCCAAGTGTAATCCTAAATTAACGTTGATTGCAAGGATATTTTTATATAATATTGTCTTGAATATTGTAAAAAGTTTTTTTTGGTTCAAACCATTTGGTAACATTTTCGGTTTTACAAACAAAAATAACTTGAATCGTTGCGATAAATCAATCTAAATGAACAATTTCTTAAATAAACCAAAATGTAAGAAAATAAAATTATTTGGCACAGACTCTGGACCGCCTTAGATGGAAAAAGTGTATCCTGTGCAAGGTAAAAATAGAACGGGAGTTCCGTAATTTTTTTGCACGTTTTCAGAGTTATTTCGGGAACAGCATGGAAAAAACACATTTGTTAAAAGTTATTTTATCTTTATATTGAGTTTTTTGCATTTGTGTGTTGGGCAGGTAAAAATTATCAAGATATTAGAACCTAAAATTTAATTCGACAACTACCTGTTTAGGTAGGTATTCTTTAGAAAATAAAACTAGAACTGAAAACTTGATCTAATGAAATACGTAACAAAATATTGAAAATTTTCATATAAAAAATCCGTTGACCTCACCCGGAATTTCGTCGTTCCGGAAGCCCAACCACCAAAACCATAAAGTCGAATGACTGGGCAAAAGAAATCCGATCTCGATCTTCTCTGAGCAGGGCAGAAAAGCGGCTTGCGGTCGACACAATCAGAAATCAAACGAAACAAAGGATACGTCGTTGTCCTTGAACCTAACGACGTCGTCGCCGTCTATAGCGAACGTCCCGTCCCGTCCGCGGTTGCCTTGAATGTAAACCAAGTTCAACACACCAAGTTCAAAAATAACTTGAAATGAGTGTGTGTAGTGTAGAGACGAGCACATTTTGCCGATGCATTCGAGAGATGCATTCGCATGCGTTTATTTTCGGGTGTTATGTTAATGAATCGGTGCGTTTTGTTTACAGATTTTGTACATCTATCAATAAGAGGTGTC